CAGACGATTACTTAAATCATGTCTTTCAACTGTATTCCGTCAGACTTTAATAAACGAAGGAGAGAAAAAATCGTCATTATTTTCCTGTTGAATCAAATAAGCAATTAAAAATATTAAACTTAATGTGTGTGTATTTATATATTCTGTAGGCAGTGTTTATCAGTTTGTTACGTCTATGATCGTTTGTTAATTACTCGTAAAATGTCTTTCCGAAGAACTTCAGCGATACAAGTCCTTTCTCAAATAAAACTAGTTTATTCTTTCTCAATTCAACTTTCCAATACACTTAATTTCCACAGTCTTTAACTTAAACACACGCTATAATTCTCAACGAACGATTCACGCACTTTACTACCTACCGCGCTTGACTCAATTGTCCGTCTATATCTTCAATCTTTATGTCTGCTATATTTCTGTTCCGATTGATTGTCGGGCTTATATATTAGAATACAGTACATCTAGCAAACACTCGAGCATTCGAGATACTCAATTACGTGTTACAAGCGTTATGTGACTTCCGCTGACGTAACAAGTTGAAGTTTTGTTTGTTTTTAGCACAATGAGTTACCAGCTAGATGCATACTGTGTGTTTCTGATAACCGAATCTTTTAAAGAGAAGTGGAAAATTTCATTTCTGGTATTGTGAACATGAAATCATTTTAACGGGCATATGGGCTAAATATGAAGTTCAGATACCCTATGGATCAGATATAGCCTTCCATATTTTCGAACTACTGACCAAAAAGACGGGGAAACAATAAGAAGTACCCACCGACTAAAAGACTGCTGTTAGCCGAATATTGGGATTGACAACGACAGTCATAATATCCCCACAAATCAAAATGAGGAGCATGTTCAGCAGAATATTGCGGACTCACTCGAACCTTCGACCTTCCATTCGTAATATAACACGTAGTGTAAAAAAGTGACGTTAGGTTTTGGTATTTTTTTTCAAGTACAGTGGGTTATAAGACTACATCTACAGAGCTATTCAAGTAGAGCTGGTTATAATACTACAACAACACAGTATTGCCTACAATTGTTAGAGTAGAATTGGTTATAATACTACAACTACACAGTTGTTCAAGTAGAGTTGGTTATAATACTACAACTACACAGTACTGCTTACAGTTGTTAGAGTAGATTTGGTTATAATACTACAACTACATGTAGTTGTAGTATTATAACCAACTCTACTCTAACAACTGTAGAAAATAGTAATACAATTACACAGTACCGCCTACAGTTGTTAGAGTAGAGTTAGTTATAATACTACAACTACACAGTACTGCCTACAGTTGTTCAAGTAGATTTGGTTATATTACTACCACTACACAGTACTGCTTACAGTTGATCAAGTAGAGTTAGTTATACTACTACAACTACACAGTACTGACTACAGTTGTTAAAGTAGAGTTGGTTATAATACTACAACTTTTCAGTACTGTCTACAGTTGTTCAAGTAGAGTTAGTTATAATACTACAACTACACTCTACTACCAGCAGTTGTTAGAGTAGAGTTGACTATAATGCTACAACTACACAGTACTGCCTGTAGTTGTTCAAGTAGAGTTGGTTATAATACTACAACTACACAGTACTGCTTACAGTTGTTCAAGTAGATTTGGTTATAATACTGCAACTACACAGTACTGCCTACAGTTGTGAGAGTAGAGCTGGTTATAATACTACAACTAT